TTGTATTGCAATTGCTTCTGCTACATTGTGGAACAGATTGACAAAGCCACGAAGGTTTTGTTTTTGTTTTGCCTTACTTTTTTGTCTTCCACAAATGGCAATTTGACTCTAGTATTCAGAATTGTCAGCAGGCTGTAGGATAAAGTAGCATGCCCAGCTTTGCTTGTTCAGTGAATTCAACTGTGAGGAAGCTTTTGACCTTCAGAGCGACAGCAGGAAGAATTACTGTTTTGACACAAGATGCTCGAAGGGTGTTGTACTGACGTCACTTGCTGCTTTAAGCATCGAGCACCTGCTTCCCTGCCTGCAAAACCTAGGTTATGTCTGAGCGTAATGAGCCCCTAAATCATCGTAAGCACCCAAAATATGATAGTGATGATCTTTCTGCCTCCTGAAGAAAATAAGTCACTGAAAGCATTAGAGTTCATGTGCTGTAAGATTGGAAAACGTTCGAAAAAGCTGGAGGAGGTAGAACATGTGACATGGCTGGAGTTATATTTTATGTATATAAAAAAAATCAGTTTTGTAGCCCCAGTTAAATGTCATCTGTTGAACTCTGTAAGGATGCTTTTACAGGTCATCTCTGCAGGTTGCTGCAGGGGGCAAGCTGGAAGAGAGGGTTTCCACCGAGGATGTGGCTGCAGTGAATCTCGACTATTCTCTTCCCTCTTTTTTTTTTTTTCTTTTCTGTTCCCTTTTTTCCCCCTCACTCTTCTTTCCTGGCCTTGTCAGTCATCTGCCGCTTCAAGTCAGCGAACACCACCACAGTTCCTCTGACTGGAAACCTCTGGGGAAGGTAGGGTACTGTCAGCCTAAGGCAGATTTCTGCTACATGGCAAAACCAGAACGCTCTCTGGAGAAGTCAGGGGAGCAAGGCTGCCTGAAATGGCGGCTAGTCTGAGGGTACAGTTTTGCAGTATATTTAGTCAGCTGAAGTCTGCTGCTGAAAAGGAAGAGTCTGGCTTTTCCTTGTCCTGCATACTCGTTCCTGCTGCATCCTTTCTGCTAAACCCACCGTGTGGATTGGTGCAATCGGATCAGCTTGTGTTCAGACTGAAATGTAATGGTAGGGTTGGAAATAGAGATGGTTACATGTCAGCTGGATCAGAGTTCTCTTGCCTGTGCAAAAAAGGAGGGAGAAACACGTCTCTGGGCTGGGGTGGAGAGATTGGGTCTGTCCCTTCTTGCTGACGTGTGGTCTTACTGCTTCAAGTGGAGACGGAGAACTCGGGGGCTCTTGTTCAGGACTACATGTAAGAGGCTGAGGGGGGAGGGAAGAGAGAGAATTGAAGCAAAACTTACTTGTGCTGTTCAAATAACTGTTGAAGCCATTAGTGATCTATCTAAATGACCTTGCACATTTTGTAGAAAGCCAGCTATGTTGTTGTATCGTGTCGATGCACTCAGAAGTGTCTTATTTGTCACCTAGGTCTGCACAGCTTCAGTGTTTCACGTTGGATTCTTGTTATATATTATCTGAACTGAAATGCTCTTGATCAAATTTCTGTTCTTGCATATGTACATACAAATGTAATCAAGTCACCCTTAATCTTCTCTTTGATTATACTAAACAGATTTAGTTCCAGGAGGCTCTTGTGATAAGGCATGTTTCTTCAATCTTTTAGATGTTTTCTCTGATCCCTCTGTGATATTTATAAATATGGAGTTACGGTCATCAGAATCTGCAAATACCATTTCATTGTAGTTTCAGTAAAAGGTTGGAAAGAATAGTCCTTGTTACTACTTATTCACTATTCTTCTTTTTATATATATGAAAAATTTCCTTGCTGTTTTGGATACAGTATTGCACTGGCCTCCTGTCGGTGGTTTGTTCGTCATGACCCAAGTCCTCATCTGGGTTGTTGCTTCCTAAGGTAGTCCTTCCCTCTCTTAGATTTGCTGGGGTGCTTTGTTCCCACCAACGTGTGGCTGGACTTCAGTTACACTAAAACTTGTATCCTTTGCCATGCTGTGATGCCAGGTGACCCAGACTGCCCTGCATCAATGGTCTGTGCAGCGAGATATTTACTGCTTGGCAAATAGCTGCCTCATCTGTGTGCCTGCTCTGTAAGAGCTTAGGGATTTCTGAAGTTTCAAACAGAGCACGGGCAAGAACAGCTCTTGAAGGGACTGACTAGGTACATACCCATGCAGCGAGGAGTTCCTGTTTATAATCCTGCTTGGAGAACGCTAAATCATTTTTCATCTGTTTGAGTGCTGGGTTGACTTTCTTAACAAAAATTTAAGTACCACTCAACATTTGTATTGATTTAATATATCTTTAAAGCATTAATTTACAAGCCAAATGTTGTGACTTACATATTGTGTGTGTGTGTGTATATATGTGTATATGCACATTTATTTTATCTATACATGTGTAGATGCATTAGAATTGTTTGGCAAGATCTATTTTTGACAGCATTTGACAGCTTTTTTTTTCAATTATTTTTGGTTCCCTCCCTCAGTCTTTTTTGTTTCTTCATTTACAAAGACAGCACATCCAGCCTTTATTGTGTGGAAAAGCTTTTTCTTTAATCACTCCTGATTTTCAGTTTAGCTTGGAAGCACATTTTCATTCAAAGTGAAGAAGTTAAGCTGTAAATCTGGAAAGCTTATTTTTCTCTTCTATTGTATGAATACAAATGAGATGCCAGTTCTGAAAACATGAAGTGTATCATGATGTGAGATGACAAGTCTAATATAATTTTAAATGTAAAACAAGATTTGGGAGGAAAAAAAGGACATCTAACGCAGCTAAGATAATCAAGTTGGAATCTAAACTAATATTTTTTAAAATACATGTTTTTGCACCTTTAATGCAATTCTGTATCCAAGCTAACTATGGTTAAGCTACTCAGTACTTTCAAGTATAACAACAAAAAATTGTTTGAGTAGATGTACATTAAACAGAATAAATGTTTGAGTAAATGCATTGTAAATACTGTCTATTCCCAGTTAGTGGTCGGGAACAAGGAATCTAATGTGCAAGCTGTATTTGGTTCTAAGTCAGTATCAGCCACTGAAAACAAACCTCTTTGTTTTCTGTAAAGTACACTTTAAATAAATGTCAAGGAGATTACAGTGCATTGGATCAGTCTCCTGTTCCATGATTTTAAACCATGATTCAAATTGTGATTAAAATCACATAAGTACCAATCAGTCTGGTACATTACATTAGATCACAGTCTTGATTGTGCCCTATAATATAACAGACCCTGAGGCGCTGTTATATTATAAATGAGACGTTCCTGACCTTGTTCCTTATTTCCTTGGCTCCTGCTCCCTCTATGCTGATGCTGCTGCCATTTTCTCCTCTACTTTTTTTACACTTCCATGTGTGTTAAAATTATTTTTTCATCCAGCTTTGCACAGGTGCTTACCAGTCTACATTGGAGCCTCTTCTGAATGTCTCCTCTTGTCAAGTTGCTCAGGAGTAGCTATTCATACCTATTTTTTGAAGATACATATCATTTCCTTTCCTATAAACTTCCAAAAAAGCAGGTGGCTTTTTTTACTTTTCATTCATGATTGGTATTGCAAATAATTAAGATGAAAGTGAAATGGAGTGGTGACTAGTGCAATGCATTTATCTAATAAAGTAATGGGGAGAGTTTAGCTTTAAAGAGGTACTGGGTGCTAGAAAAACAAAAACTCCCCACTTAAATTGCTGTAGCATGTTTGTGCCATCTGTACTACAGATGCTAAAGCATAAATTTGGCTTCCTCTAGGAGACATTAGGCTGGCCATGTGGTGGAGACAGCTGCTGAGATAGAAGGGAATCTTTGTATAGCAATCATATTATTATTTTTCTAGCTGCTGGTGGGGTTGGACTAGGGGGCATCCAAATTTTGAGCCAGCTTTGCTGTGTGATGTAGAATTATTTCTATCCATATAATTATCCTCTCACTACATAGAGTTCTAAAGTAGTTTAAAAAAAAAGTTAATTGGAAGTATTAAATTAAAAATGAATCAGAAAGGTCATCTTGTGGTTGGATATCACTCATCTGGTGATGTAATACGGGCTGTGGAAAGCCTCAGGATAAAGCTGACGTAATGTAAACTCAATTCTTTGTATGTAATGGTTATCTTATCTGACGTGATTATGCTTTTGTAAGTGATACAGAGTACAGCTTGTCTGAGATGGTTGAAAACTAATGAACCTAAATTAAATGAATGTGAATTCTGGTTCTGAAAGTCATACTCTTGAAGACAAATAGCTTTTTTGCTTTTAAAAAAAAACCTTACTTATCAAAGTATTGGAAGTAATCTTTTTGCATCCATCAAAACGTGTACGTGTAGTCATTTACAGTTATCAGATACCAGCTTATAGTTGTTTTTATTCTTATGGTATAAAACATTTCTGTTTGTAAGCAGTCAACTGAAAAAAGAAGTGCCAACTACCTCAAAGAACAAAGAAATATATGATAGAAACGAAAATTTATTGCTACAGTAGTAGACAGTGGCACTAGTATAATTGTGATGACTAAGCTTTATTATTACTTGCATCTTGAGGCCCTAAAAAAAAAAAATGCAGCTTTTGCTATAAGTAAAATCTATGGAAAAATGGAGATTGGGAAAGGCATCAGTGGGGATTCTTGGTTTTTAAAGGAGTAAATGGTGATCTGGGTAGAAGCCCTGTGGACGTTCTCCAACGGTACAGGCTGCATGGAAGTCACGAGGGGAGGTGCTGACTAGTGAGTGGAAAAGGGTAGGGATGTGCACAAAAAGAAGTTTAAGGATAAGAGGGTAAGTTAGAGATGTCAGTGTCATGTAGCATTCTGAGATTGATGAGAAGAAAGCTGAATTTGATACGTGATAAGAAAGCTGAATTTAATACATGAGGGAACATGCTTCAGCAGAGGATTTAAATGATGGGATTACATCATTTTCACTGCAGTTGGCATGTTTTTGAATTTTTAAGGCTGTATTAGTTGGTAGAGCAGTTTAAAGAGGGATTGCCTGGCAAGCTTTTATTACTGTGTTATTGTTATTTTTAACAGATATTCAGGACAGTCAATTCTCTCCCTGTCTTCCGCTGCTGATGTATTCAACACGAGGCCAAAGATTTTCAGATGAGATGCTTCTCCAGCAATCAGAAATGGATTTTATTCCCCTAAGGTAGGATAAAGTTACCTGGTGTCATGACAGAATGCAACCCTTTTTTCCTGAGGGGCCATGAATTGTCCTACACTTGATAATCAAATAATTACAGTTTTATGGTCACAGAAATAAGACGAAGGTGTGGTTTACTCTTTGTTTGTTTTGTATAGAGAGAAGGCATTGTCAGAGTTCTACTCATCTTTTTATTTTGCCTTCAAAAGAGTTTGAACAAGGGAAAACCACAACAAGCCTCTTCTGAACTTGTCATCCTTAATGTACCTGATGAAGACGGGAAAATGAGGAACTCCACCCTCTCAGACATCTTTTTAGCTTTCTTAGACTCTGAAATAAACTTCATGAAATTTTGGAGACAAAAATCAGATACAACTAGTATCTAGTAAATGCATGCAGACATATACATGTCATAATATTGTGGTTTGTATATACTGGAGTAATATATATTACGTGTAATTTAAAATACACGTTTTTATATAAAGTATGAATACATAAAGAAATAGCTATTTCAGTAAAAGTCTTTGTCCAAGCCTTCATTTCAAGGTGTGACAAATGCCTCCTTTTGTGCAAAGAAGGCAAGAAATCCTCTGCCCTTTATTAAAAAGAGGAAAAAAGGCAGTGTGCATATAAACACGCATATTTACAGTGTCACTGGTGTTTAGGCTTCCTTGTACTTTTTTTGATGTGACAGGAGACAGATTTGTTTCCTAATGTCATACACTGTGACTTCATTTTGTGGATCAGAACTTAGTTCCACCAGAGCTGGTGATCTGCTTGCATGGAGTAATATTAATTGGGGTTTGATGATCATTTTCATATAAAAAACCTATTAATTCAAAATCCACAATAAAAATATTAGAAGTTTATAGGAATTTGTTGCTTACGTTCCTCTGAGACCTGGCTTATTTTATATCCTTTAAAGAAATAATTCATATAATGAAACTGAAGTAGGTGATTTATGTTAAATTTGTGTGTGGTGGGTTTTTTTATGTATGTGTGTAAGCAACTCTTATATTTTATTTAACTAATAAACATCCTGTTAGTAAAAAATACTTCAGTCCTAAATGGGTTGAAAAATATTGACATACTAAGTAGAAACTAGTATTATTTTCAAACCTTTATTTATAGGGCAGTAGGACTTTTTGATGTTGTTTGGACTTTCTTTACATTTCTTCACATTTTGGCCTGTTTAGGGGATGTATTTATGTGTATGTTGCTAAACCCCAGTTATTTGTTTGAGCGAAGTTCTGCTTTTGCCTCTTATATTAAAGCAGAGAATATAGAAGTTGAAATAAAAAATACGATCAGAAATTCACTTACTTTTCTTGCCTCTTATAGAGGAGTCCCTGATGTTTCTGGTGCGTCTGAGGAGCATTCGAAGCCTTCGCACATCCGTGAAGCTGTGTCACTGACACAGGCAGAATCTCCCTCTGATGCACCCAGTGACTGCTTTGCTTTGTCCCAGCATCCTCTGCCTTTCAGACATGTGGAACCTTGTGATGCCAGTTGTAGCGGTTTTTTGTCTCAGCAAACCTCTTTTTCTGGACAACTACTTGCGAACAAGGAGGCAAATGAAGACTGTAAAAACGATACTAATGAGAAGGCATTGATTCCCCAAACAAGTGACAGCTTAGCAAACTCCACTTCAAAGCTGATGCTAACCGAGGCAAATAGACTGAGCCAAATGGAAGCTTCTCTTACAAAGCAGAGCTGTGGTACGTCTGTAAAAGACAAACTTTTCTCCCGCGACAGCAACGTACCAGTTACTGTTTTCAAGCTTTCAGAGAAAGAAAAAGGTTTACTGAGGCATGATGAGTTCTCATCTTCAGAAAACTCCTCTTGTAAAACAGCACTAACTAAGAATTCGGAGAAAAGGGAAACAGAAATGCAAAAAGAAAAGGTAAAAATGGCTGAGAGTGAGTCAGAAGGGTCCATGAGGCAGCTGGAGAAGCTGGAAAAAGAAAAGGTTCCTGAGCTTGATTTGTCTAAGAATTTATCTGATGATTTGAAGAAAGACAATTGTAAAAATTCAGATGCGCAAGATGTTTTTTCTGCAAAGACTTCTGAAACAGGTGAAGGAATGTTGAAGGAACATGGAGTGGATTTAAATGGCTCTGAAAGCTTGAAGTTTGTGGCTGTTGCTGAGGAACTCCAGGGAGCTTTTCTAGATTATCAGCAGAAACAACTGTCTCCTGCAGTGAGATTTGAGAAAGAGTTTATCGCTACTGTGACAAGCACCAGTGATTGTGCACCGAAACGACGAGTTGTGACTGACATGGAAGCTCCTTCTTCAAGCAGTGAGGATGCCCCAGTGGAAGTAGAACCTGGAGTAAGCAGGAGTGAATTAACTATTTCAGATTTTTCCATAGAAAGGGGACATAAAGTTACAGGCATTTCCCCTTCCTTTAATCTTGTAGGTGATGGCTCATTCTCTGTACACTTAGCTCATCCAAGCTATCAGTCTACTCCAGGGATACTTCTAAAGAAAAATGTTAAGGCAGAAGAACTTGGTGTCCTTGTGAACAAATCAGATATTCAGGCCTCTCCTTCGTGCTTAAATGAAGAAACTTCAGGGAACTCATCTACCAGTACACCTGTATCTGTTGAGAAGCAACATTCACTCCAATGTGCTCAGAAAGAAAACAATGAACATTTTGAGTCCTTAAAATTGAAATATCCCCACACTGGAAGAATTCAGTCTCTCCCAACGCTTAGTTTCATGGAGAAGGTAGGGGCGTGGAACGTGAGCCAGCCAGAGGAGGTGTCTGATGCAGTGACTTCATGTGACCCAGGTGGAGTTTCTCCTAGAAGGAAAGCCTACAGTGCAATTGCCAGTTCTTCAAACAATATTTGGTCAATACAAAAAAGTGGTAGAAACCCCAAAGATTATGTTGCTGCTTCTTCTAGAGAGACAGGTTCCCTGGGAAGTTTGTGTTTTCATAATAAAAACTTACTGCTTGTCCACCCTCTTACTAGATCTCAGTCTGACAACGCAGTAAATATTTCCAGTGGGAATGCATCCTGGGTTGAAATTATTCCGCCAGCAAACTCAACAGAGGCAGTGCAGCCTCTAGAAGAAAAAAGTAATGTTTTAGGAGTGTCTGAAAATAGTTTAGGAGGCTCCACGATACAAAAGTTTACAGCTGAGATTGTTTCTGGATCTAGTGGTGAAGATGCAGACAGTAATAGTCCAGGACAAAGTTCAGACCCAAATGTTTTTGTTTCCGGTGAAGGAGTTGCTCAGCTCCTTAGAGAGGATGGAAACTCTCCAACTGATGACCAGAAGAATTATGATGCTCTTGAAAATCATAGACAGTCTCACAACCTAGATACTCCTCCTGGCCATGTCAGCGTGGACAATTACGGTGATATTTCCCCAGATAGTTTGAATCTTCCTGTTAGTTCTGGGGAAGGTAGCCAGGGGGGCTTGGGCTTCGCAGGGTGCTCTTCAGTGCTTTCCAGGCACTTAACCAGTGCAAAAGATGATAACTTCATCCCTGTTGGAGCAACTTCTTTGGAAACTCCGGTGAAAGAAGAGCTTAATATTGAAGAAAGGATCCCAGTAAGTTAGTTTCTAACAAAAATTTGTAACTCTTCTTTACCTTTTGATGATGAAGAGATCAGAGTACACTCAGCTCTCATAGAGTGAGTAGGACAGAAGTGCAGAAGGTATCACAGGAACGAGACACTAGCATGCTTATAGTGAGTTTCTGTTATCCAGTCATGTTGGGAACCTGTCATGTGATAGTTATTCTTCTAGAAATACTAGCAAATATGTGTTTTATGTTAGCCTAAAAAAATCTTAAAGGACCCTTTATAACTGATTCTAATTTTAAACTCTGGTTTCAGAGTTATCCCATTTTTTTCCCCACTGTTCTTCTAGGAGACTCTGGTAGGGTCTGCATCACTACAGACTAAATGAAATGGTTTTACGCTGGTCTGTGCTACTGGTGAATTTCATCCATGATATTACTTCCACTTATCTTAAATGCAGAGGTGGAAGGAATAACTTTTAGGTAATATTTAATATGGGCAAAGAAAGGGTTGGATATGGGAAAGATTTTTTTTTTTGTTGTTTTTTCCAGGTATAGATGATAGAATCATGGTAACAGAATGCAAGAGAAATGTAAAGATTGGTGGCTGATGGTGGCGGAACATGAAGGACATAAGAACAGGACATAGCGTTAGTGATAAAAAGTGAAATTGTTTGATAAAAGACTTGTAAATAAATGGATCATAGCTCTTTTAGCAGAGCACTGATAAGCCATTTCTGATCTTCCAGATTCTTTCAAAAGATCAGGTTATAATTATCCAAACATGAGGTTGAGACTCAACTGCTGACTAAGGAAATGCTAGGCTGCAGAAGAGAGATGAACTTCACACACCCACAGATCTGCAATAATAGCAAAACCAACACCGAACTCCTTGGCAAATCAAATTGCTTTTTTTTCTATAAATACTCCTTTTGCTTGTTCACTTTGTTCCAGTATCTAAGGCATAAATTCCTGATTCTTTGTATATTGCTCATAAAGGATGTTTGAAGCCTCTGCATACCTTTCCTCCTTTATATCTTCTTTGGCTAATGCAGACTTCTTTCCTCCCTTCCCCATTTTAGGATGCTTGGTGAGAATGGAGGGCAGATTGTGGCAGCCATGTTAACTATACTAATAGCTGTTGAGTGTTAGAGAAAATGAAATGCAGATTTATGTTAATGATAAACATGTAATTATCTTCTGAGTAAGTGGTTGTTCCTCTCACAAGATGACTCCTATAATCATTAGGTCTTTGGAACTGTGTTTTAGAAGCACTCTTCTCTGAGTTGTCTCTGCAAATACGCATTGAAACAAATATAAATATTGCAGGGAGGATATTTTAAATGAAATTCATGAGATGTAAAGGTTGTCTGTTACCTTTTTTTTTTAAATGACTATAATTAGGCATATTCTCCAGCCCCAGTTCTGAGGAATTCTGTTCTCATAAATCACTGACAAGGTAAAGGAGATTAGGTCACATATATGGCTATTAATATGTAGGTTTATAATAAAGTCATAGGAAGTAGAGTTGGCCAAGATCTACAAGGTAATTTTTTTCATTTTGTGGGCTAGTTTCGGACATAGTATAGATGAGTTGAAATTAACTTGCCCCTACAGGTGATTAAGTCAAGGCAAATTTTGGTGGTGGTTTTTTTTGTGTGCATATAATGTCTGTATGTAAATTTAAATGCTCTGTTAAAAGGGAAGATATTACTTTCTCGGGAGATCCTAGACAGTCTTTGGTAGTCTCTTACCTCCACGAGACTCCTTCAGCTTTCAAAATATATTAATACAGGGAGTGATGCTGTGTGTGTCTGAACTGACAATCTCCAGAAGTTGCACAGAGAGAGTTGGTCTCATCCTCATTACGTTTTTCTCTAGTATATCGCAGAGTTTTAGGTTTTGAGTATGATTTTTGTTTGGCTTCTGTAAACTAACTACTTTGTTTAATGAAGTTATACTTGGATAGCAATTTATATGTGTGTGTGGTACACAAATAGTGCTTGTGTGTATTTGTTCTGTACTTATGGAAAAGGGAAAAACATGCATTTTATGCTGTCTTTACTAAGAAGGGGTTATTGCTTTAGCTGCACTAGTAAAACTAAGCCTTGATTGTACATAGAATTTGTACCCTTGAGTGTCCTATGTTTTATAGACTTAAACTAGTGCAGTAGGTTGTATCCAGAAATGTTTTCATAGCCAGGGAGTTTTTGAGGTACTGCTGAAATCTGTTCATTGCATGCTAGGCCACTGAGTAGATGGGCAATTATATATTAGACTACCTGTGTTTCTTCATGAAACTATCAACAGCAGAAAGCGATTCTACCCCTTGGCTAGCAGAGGTTTATTCCCTACAGCAACATCACAAAAGCTCTTTCGTGGTGTTTTTTAACCAGCTTTGACAAAAGGGTTCCCAACTATTTGCCTTGAAGACTAGTCCATATTGAACTTGTCCTTAAGAGTGAGGAACTTTCCTGCTGCCTAGGTTGAATTTCAAAGTCTTGATAATGTTTTCTGTGCAGCAATCATTTGGGGAGAAAAAGGTTTTAAAACCAAACCCTTGTGTCCTCCTTCCAGCTGGCAAATGTCATTTTAAACAGGTGAGGCCGAAGCTTACCAATCTCCTCTGAAGTATCAGACTTCTTGCTCATGCAGTGTACAGAGCATACACTGAGTAAAAAGACTATAAGCAGTCGACTGTTGTCACAAGAACAAGATACGTGGCCTCTTCTTTGCTGACCTTTTCCATTGTTTCCAGATCCTGTGGAAAGGGCTGGGCACTTGTTTGGTGGTAACGGGCTACTGACAGTTGCAATCTTTGGCGCGTGATGAAGCAAAGGTCAGGAAAGCACCAGGAGAAAACTGTTGGTGAGCGCAAGCCCAAGCTATCACCACCAGAACAGTTCTTGCAACTTATTTCTGAATTGCTGCCAAACATAAATGAGGAATAGATTGCAGGATATGTCAGTTGTTCTGCTGGGCTGCACGTGGCTTGTGAGGTGCCCGCTATGGAAGCCTAGTCATACTAGCTAGAAAAAAGGCTTGTCACTCATGGTCCAAAGAATAGAATAAGCTGGAGATGTTGTCTCATATGTGACTGCTTTAGCGTTTTGGGTGAACTGTTAGTGCGAGTTGAACGTGACTGAGGCTTAAGATGTTTTAAAACAAGTTGTTTGCGTTTAAGGTGATGCAGAAAACATGCAGCTTCAGAATCCATTGACATTCTGTAGGAGTGCCGTATGTGTTACTTATTTCTTCTTTTGCCAGATATATCTTCGCAACCTTGGCATTGATCAGTCACCTGGAACTATACTGATGCCGTTTGTACCCCGAGGACCGATCAGGGAAGTTGAATTTTCCCCTTCAGAGCTTAGAACACTGAAGGACTCTGCTGACACGCTGACGAGGACTGCTCTGCAGCCGCAAGGTATGGGGAAGGAAGACCTTGTGTTGTGCAACCCTTGGAGGACACAGACCTTCAGACTCGCCTGTGAGGTTGCTCTTGGCCTGGTAGCGTCCACTGTGTTTCTTCTCATGTCATGCACTGTTTCATTCATATGAGTTGATCTTCTCCCATCTCAAATGTGAGATATTTGGCATTGGAAAAGTAAGCATTAAAACCTTTGAAAACATGCTTTCTCACTAAGGAGTCATGGCTATGTGGCATCTTCTAGCCAGTGCAGTGGCATTTTATCTTTCTTTATTTCTCTTTTTACAAGAGTTCTTAAGAAGGAAATGTTTTGTATCTGAAGATTAAAGAAATGTTACCAGACTTTTTCTTCCTGTGAGAGAAATTAGTCTTGGTTTCTCTTTCTTTCTGAGACTTCTTGGTGTGTTCGGTGTGACAAAAAGTAATACGCATTTTATAACTGACCAGTTCAGTTCATAAATCTGTCCATCTCAACATAAAAATCACTATGACCTTAACAAGTGTTGAGTCATTTCTATATGAAGAACAGAGTGTATTCAGTTAGGGTTAAGAAGTTCCTCAGTGGCATGCCCATGTAGTATGTCATTAAAATGTGAAAATAAATAAAATAGCTGTTGGCAGGCATACTTGGGACCTCGTTCTTCACTGTTGTGTGTACCTGCCAGCATGGGCTTAAGAACAGCATTTGCACTTAAGTTTGGCTTTTTTTTTTTCCCTTAAAGCAATTAGGTGTTATCTATCCAAATGCTAAAAGTGCATCTTGTCTGCTTTTGGACCTTTCTAGCCACTAGTGGGAAACAAGCTTATCTGTAGTGTGTCCTTTGCCTTTTTCCAAAAGGTTGTTTTGGAAATACTGCCCCACAGCCCTCCTGTTTCTTGCAGGGATACTTTTATAATCCAAGTGTTCATTTGGACATTCAAGCACCACTATGTCATTTATCTAAGAACATTTATTTAAAATCTAGTTTAAACATTTATTTAAAAGCAAGTTATTTAAGTCAAGTTCTGTAGTTTCTTTGATATTCTATATTTATCCAAAATGGTCTAAGAGATTTCTTTCAGTAGACAATTCTCATGGAAGTCTTAGTTCAACTCTCATTCTAAAAACAGTTTCCTAAGTGTTTTCCAATATTTGAACTCCTCCCTCCCTTTACAAGCCGTCTAGTACAAGAAATAGTAGTCTTTACTGATGCAGCTGTTTTCTGGCGCCCCAAACTTGATGAATCTTCTGTTTCTTTGTAGGTGAATTGCTGTCAGCAGTTGAAATTACGCAGACAAGTTTTAACTCTGACACTTCCACTCTCAATATGTCTATACCAATTAATTTAGAAGTTGGCTCTGATATTCTGTCACCCCGTGAACTCTCTCCCCACTTCTCAAGATCTTTTGGAGACAAACCAGTGAGTCAGTGCAGCATGTCGTGCCACCGCCTGGAGATAAGTGCTCTGCTTTCCACACAACGGGAGGCAGAGTGTTCAGCTGTCTCCAAACTAGATGAACCAAACCAGCAGCTGCAGACTGTTTCACCTGACTGCCGTTCTGACAGAGAGGGTCCCATGCTTCTTGCAACAAGTGTTCAGGATCTGCTAGCTAAAAATGAGTCAAAAGATGTGAATAGCAGCCCGCAGAGATGGACTGCCGGTTCTTTGGCTGGAGTTAAAAATGAAATGGAAGTTGACAGAGGATCACAAACTTCAAGTGTAGGTGGTAAGAGAAATAAGGGTCAAGAAAGTGATTTTTTGCTTGGGTCTGGTGCATTGCAAGAAATACGTGAGCTTTTGGCACAGGCAGAGGATATAGCTGGCAGGTGGTGTGATCCTGTCTCTTCCACTGCCTCTTCTAGAGAAACCGGTGAGTCTTCTCCAGTGCTGATTAGAAAGGAGGATGGCCCCAAAGATTCCAGGTTAGTGAAAGACGGCGTCCCTCAGTTTCAGAAGATGCTGTTATGGGATGAGACTATGACCCGAAGAAGTATGCAAGAAGAGGGGTTGGTAATAAAGCCTCTGAATTATAACACGTGCAATTTAAGATGGGAAAATTCTTCTGATGTCAGTTTGCGCAATAGTGAAGAGATGATGAAGGAAATGACCAAAGAGTTTAGGACAGGAAAATCGGTAGGAAGGTCTGAGCCAGAAGGCTGTAGTAGTGTAACTACAGACAGAAATCAACCTAGTTTTGTGGGTCTTGCACAAAGCAATGGGAGTAGTGAAGTCAGCACTGGAAGAACTTCAGAGTTGGGGAATCCTTCCTCAGAGCCTCTAGGCAGTGACACCGATGTCCCAGCAGGCTTCCAGAGCGTGTTGTCTAAAGCTAGTGTAGCTGAAAGCAAGGCAGGAGGCATGCGAGAGAGCAATGACAGTAGCAGTGGAGATTCGCTAGCTGCCTGCGTCAAAAACCTTCTGAGGAATCCTTCTTCCTCAGAGCCTCTAGGCAGTGACGCTGATGTCCCAGCAGGCTTCCAGAGCATGTTGTTTAAAGCTGATGTAGCTGGAATCAAGGCAGGAGGCATGCGAGAGAGCGATGACAGTAGCAGTGGCGATTCTCTGGCTGCCCATGTCAAAAACCTTCTGAGGAATCCTTCTTCCTCACAGCCTCTAGGCAGTGACACCGATGTCCCAGCAGGCTTCCAGAGCGTGTTGTCTAAAGCTAGTGTAGCTGAAAGCAAGGCAGGAGGCATGCGGGAGAGTGACAGTAGCAGTGGTGATTCTCTAGCTGCCCGTGTCAAAAACCTTCTGAGGAATCCTTCTTCCTCAGAGCCTCTAGGCAGTGACACCGATGTCCCAGCAGGCTTCCAGAGCGTGTTGTCTAAAGCTAGTGCAGCCAGAAGCAAGGCAGGAGACATGCGAGAAAGCGATGACAGTAGCAGTGGCGATTCGCTAGCTGCCCGTGTCAAAAACCTTCTGAGAAATGGATCGCCTGTGATACATGCAACACAAATTCTGAAGAGTGCAGATGAAGAGGAGAGGAAAGCACGAGGTAATAAAATGTCTCAGTTGCATTTCATCAAGTGTTATGTTAGAATGGCAAATGTTTAGGTATATGTTTAAGGGATTACTTTGAAATGACTTTGAAATGAAGAGGGATGGACGTAAGAGGACCTGAGTCTGTTCCCCTGATTTTAAAGGTGTGTTTATTATTAATGATAAGCTTTAATGGGACAGGGCTTAAATGATCAGTGTTTTTTAGTCATCTTACGTAGTATGCTAGAGTGGGATAGAATTGGACTGTTCCAGTTTGAATACCTTCTTTTGCCTAACATTGACACGAGAAAGCGTTTTGTCCACATAGCTATTAGGCATGCGCTAGGTTAAGAATTTTGGAAGGGAGTGTGTGAAAGAGTGACGACTTGAGTCTGAGACTGTAAAGATGACAGAACCAGGCAATGGGTCCTGGATCCATCTTTCCAAAGAAATGTTCAAAAGACCCTTTTTAAATTCTACGCCTGGTCAGTCCATGAGCTCTGGTATTTGATAGTGGTCTTTGTTCCCTCAGTCACAGTAGCTAGAAATGCATAGCAAAGTTCTGATTTTAAGTTCTAAAACTGTTATCATACATGATGTGAGAAAACGGAAAGGGAGCTGCTTTCTGTTTTATGTTCTTTGTGTAGCGTGGGTGAAGCTAAAACTGGCCAGCCGATCTCAAGAATCTGTGTCAGACTTGAAGGAAGAGGACCAACGAAGAATAGAGGAAATAAAGGCAGAGCTGCTTCTGAGTGCCAAGAAATCTGCACTAGCCAAGGTACAAAACAGACAAACCAGCCCCTCTGGAGAAAACTTTTCAAGTGGGGGATAAATGCTACTGTCTTGCTTGTGATCTTAAAGTGATGAATTATATTCCTGCAGTATTTTTGAAGACTGGTGGCTAGACAGGGAGAGGGGGATGCAAACTAATGAGAGCTCTGTTTAGTGGAGACGCTTGTTTCGGCTTAGTGACTTCCTACGTATGTTTTAGGACCAGCCACGGCACATGCTGTTGTGGGTTTTTTGGTTTTTTGTTTGTTTGTTTGTTTTTCCCTAGACAGTAGATGTCTTGGGTGAGGGGGGGTTGGTCTGGGGTGCGTGTGGGGATGACACACAATTGAAGATGTTCTGAAGGAAGGTATGAAGGACAGAGGTGTGGTCAGTGATGATGTGGTGGGAGAATTGGTGTTATTGTGGTGAGAAAGCGCACACAGCTCATGATTCTTAATTTGCTTAATGAGTTCTGCTTTTCACAAAATAGTTGTGCATGTGCTGGTTGTGCCTTGTAAACTCCTCCTTCTGTGGAAGGAGTTTCCTGTACAGTGCAATATTGTCTAGGTGATAGCAGTATTTGGTTTGTTACTTCCCATGTGTTCTGAAATGTTTACAAAGGAGTGTGATTTTTATTTTTGAAAGGATGCTTCAGGGAAGAAGGGAGTAAATTGTTCCTCCTTTATGTTGACTGTATCAAAGGTAATGGGCTTCAAGTGCAAGGAAGAGTCTTATTAGAAAAGAAACTCCTTAACGGTAAGGATGGTGAGAGGAAGATTATGGAGTGCTAATCATAGTATGTTTTTAAGAAGAGCTTGGGCATGTATCAGTAAAGAATAATCTAAGTGTAGTTAATGCTGATTTGGGGCAGGGGTATAGATTAGATGAGCTTTCAGTCTCTTACAGCTCTATTTTTCTGTGAAAACTTGGCATTGAATTGTCATGTTTTGCATATCTCCTTTGGAACATTTCTAGTTCATATATTAACATATAGTATATCCGAATTGGAATTTGTCTAAGCAGGAGTGTATTACCTTCAGTTTGACTTTAAATATCTATTTTCAGCGTTCATCTGATGTCCAGTCCAATTATGTCATGATTTCTAGGGGCTGTCCATATGCCCCAAGATAGGGCACTATTCATAGAGAGTATTTTGAACAAAATCACAGACTGGAAAAATGTGGAGATGTTTGTTTAACATGAGCAGTGGATGGATGATGTATTCATGCGTGCGGGATAGAGAACCCAGAGTTGGTGGAAGAGAGACTGGATAATTAGGCAGAGCTAAAGGTTGGGGCGGTTTCTGAGGAGACTGTAGAAAACTTGCATTTGAAAATACAGTCATAATCTGTCCTAAATTTTGGGTAATGCCCTTAGCTTTAGCAATATATCTTCCTTTTTTTCTTTTTTTTCTTTTCTTTTTTCTTTTTTTTTCTTTTCTTTTCCCTTTTCAGACTGCCTGCCTCCCAGGCAAAGCAGTAGGGTTTTGTTTGTTTGTTTTAATTAAAAGCCTTGCATGAGCAAGAATGAAAAACAGTGTTTTGAGTAGTCTGTCTTTGTGTTTATAGTTTCTTGGGCACGAACAGCATTGGTAATATAGACATCAGCTTCCAAAAAACATCAGACTAAGCTTCTCGGTTATTCGGTTACTGATGTAATCTTTGACTGGGGAACCTGAAAAAAAATATTAACAATTTTATTATTTTTAGAAATGCAGACGATTTTTAAAAAAGAAAAAAAATTAAAACACTAATACATTTTTGCTTCAATCTACTAATTAAAAACTAGAGGCCCTGAAGCTATTTTTTTCCAACTTCCAGATTTTGTTAGATCACAGAGTTGTCCCTCACATTAACTTGTTACAGACTGGAACCAAGTATTTACCTTTGTGATTTAGTGTCAGCTATGAATTGTTTTATCCCAATTTAGAGTAAGAAAAAATTAATCAGTTTTGCAAACCAAGACTCCAAGAAATTGCTTTAGGACAACCACAACACTTTCTGCTTTGATCTTGAAAATATTTTTGCTCTACAATGACTTTAATTTGAGATAAAAAGTAGTTTTGAATTTGCAGAATGAAGGTGGCTGTTTTTTTTTTAAAATAAAAAAAAAGTGTTTTTCCCTCCAAGAAAAACAGCATGTCACTGAAAAATACAGATTGTTGAAAACTATTTGACTGAAAAAAATGCAGCCAGTTTTATTGCTGACAAAATAATCTACTATAAATTTAATGGAAACTGTTCTGTAAAATACCTGTTGAATTTATAGAGCAAAGCTGGAAATGTGCTGACTTAAAAAGAACAGAACAAAGACTGTGAAAAGATATGTTCCTTCTCCTAAACTTTAAAGACTGAGAAAGACAAACTGTTCCTAGCACTCATGCAAACGATTCTTTCGTCAGACCGTCATCTTTATTTAGTGCTTCTGATGCAGGCTCATGATGAGTGTTCTTTTTAGAAACTTTAGACTCTGCCTTTCGTTTTTATAGGTGACAGCTCAAGAAATATAATGTGCCACTGTGATATTTTATTGTTTCTTGCAGAAAGCATGTGAAGCTTGTCTATAAAAAGAAAAGAAAATGCAACGAAGGAGCAGGACAGCTTGGGAGAGTTCTTCTCAGTGATCTTTTACTTCTAAGGATTGTTCCATCTTTTGAGATAGTCGAGTATCTGTTTGATAGCTGTTTGTCACTGGTGATGTGTTAACAGACGCTCTAAAAAAGAAGCATCATAACGATTTTTCAAGTTCTAGCTGAGCAGAGTGTTTAAGGAGGTGATTGGGACATATGCACATAAATGGGCTCCAAACATGTACTTAAGTGCTCAGCTGAATAGTGGCCCAAAAAAGGGAACGCTCTTCTTTCTTAAATTTTCATATTGAGGTACCTCTAATAGCAAGCAGTGCTCATGAGTGTAACTCAGAATTTTATTTTCTTTGTTTTCTCTTCTGTAAAATTGACAAACCTTACACAGTGAATCTATTTTCTGTACCCTCAATTCGTGGCGTCTTCCTGGTGATTTTATAGCTCTTCCATTACACAAGGAGAGAAATACTCTACTCACACTGTTATGTTTTATAATAAACACTAAAACTTGGCAGAAACGCTTACGAATAGATGGCAAACATGGAACTTTTGACATAGAGGGTTTTTTCCTGAATTTCATACTGACTCCATTTGATGCTGACTCTTCCTAAAGGCCTTAATTGGCCACTCATGGAAAGAGAAAGTACAGTGCATTGGGCTTCTTTAGGAGGAAAAGAAGACAAAGGCTGCGGATTTAACTGCAAATGCTTTGTAAACATGCATAAGAAAAGTTACATTTCAGATTGTCTAGAGATGGGTCTTGTGGGACTTATGATAAGCTGATGGCACTCTCCTATAAACTTGTTTGTGATGAAGGGAGGCAGAGAGTTGCCAAGTCATTCCTATAATAGGTTACTGTTTGTCGAGTAATTCCTGCATCTGTGGCCATGCTGATGTGGCTGTAGAGATTGTTTTGCCTGAGCAGGTAAGTTGGCAGTAGAGTACTTACTCCTTTGTTAGGCTTGAGGAGTTTAACTCTAGGATGGGTGATGCTCTTCAGTCACAAAGAGCCATGAACAACGTGATGTTTGTTGAGATTTTTAGGAAAAACATATGAAAAGTCAATCCTAGGCTCCAGAAATCAGCCCTGTTACTGTTGTTTCACTGAAATCGTTAGGGTCTTTCCAGATAAGAAGAATTTCAAGAATAACGGGGAAAAGCCAAAGACTTGTGGGCGGTCTTCTGTTCCAGGAGCAAAGCCTTTCAAATTTAACCATTGTCTTGTGCCGTTTGTACATGTACATTTGTTTTGGTTCCCCCAGTTGAGAGCGAGGGTTTTTGAGTTGCTGTTAGATGTAACTAAAGTTTCAGCATATTAAACCTAAGAATTTTCCTTCTAAATTGAGGAACTTATTACCCCACCTGTATTTTTATGGGTGCCAAATAGCTATCTCTTGACTTACCTAAGAGAGTTCTCGCTCTGTACGCTGTATTCTTCCACTATAAGCTGTATTTTTCCACTCCTTGTACTTTCTCACTTTTTCAGGAGGTTCACCGAGTTGTAGCTATAAATTTGCACTGCAATCTCTTGTGGATCATATGCCATAAGATCTTTTTTGGAAAGATGACACATAACAAGCACAATAAAATATGTGAAAGTCTTGGGAAGATGAGTTTATAGCAACTTCTGTGCTTGCTTTCAGTAGTAGGAGTTGCTGTCTATTACTTCAGGCCATTGAACTGGTACAGGGTTTAGGGAAGAGATCGTCTTGGGAGCACCCCTACCCTGGCACAGGACTGCTCTGTGTCCTTGCATTCTTCTACAGTCCCTTGTTGTCCCTCTTGGCTATAGGAAATACAGGAAGCCAAATAAACTAGTTTACTTGCTTAGAATAGATAAGGCCACAGAAAAGTACTGCTTTAGAATGATAATCCAGACCTTGCTGAAATAGTTTACTGCTAATGACATCTGGGATGTAGAAAGGATGGAACATCTGTTGTGGAATACTTGTTTATACTTTGACTTACACCAAAAATGTTTTTGACTGATATTTATTTCCAAATTTCAACTAGCTGCTGAGGACGTAATCATCCAAGGACCTGTGTTGCACTTCATTAATGAAATATACTCTGCTGTTTCCACAATTGTTTCAATCAGTAGGAAAAAATAAATATAGTCTAGATTTTTTTTTTTAATAAGCTTGTCTGGCCCATCTCCATGGCAGTACATTTATCTCAGATTTGCTCTCTGCACCTCAATGAAAGTATTGTAATTTTTAATGACACTTAAATTAAGGAAGTGCGGATACTGATAAATAAAATGATGTCCACACTTAAGAAACTCTTTCTAAAGAAGGCTGGTGGCCTATAGTTTCACATACACTAACATGAGCTCTAATGGTTTTGATGTAAGGTTTGGATGCTGATGTAATTATTTGTCTTTTGTCTTGTCCATTTCCAGCATTCACTAACCATGATACTGCCTCTGACACTAAACTGACCTGTCAGAAAGAATTGGGGTGAAATAATGTAAGAGAGCGCTGCTTTTTAGCATGTTGTGTGAAGTGTGGTGTGGTATTTTGTGTCAGGAATGGGACTAACAGCATGATACCTGTTTTAGTGCGTATCTAAGTGAGGGGAATCTCAGCGTGTAGAAAAATGTTCATTTCTCTAGAACCGATACAGCTGCTTCCAAAGGTTAGTGTTTCAGTTGTTTTGTTATTGCCCCTCATTGGAGGTGCAGTGCTAACAGGTCAGGTGAGTACTTCCTTATTTTGCTTCAGGGCAAACCCTGTTGCAGTTTTTTTGATCGACGCTGACAGTAACAAATTACCGTGAGTGCTAACTGAAGGTTTTCCCAGTTGTACTTGCAAGGCTTTCTCTTTGTGCTCTTAGAGTAACAGGCTTTCTGCATGCATCTGGGAGCGTGATGGTTTATTCACTTGTTTGTAGTGTGATCTTTAATCTAGAGGTATTTGCATTTCTTTTCTTCCAAACTACCTTCTCCTTACACCAGTCAGGTAAGTCGCTGCAAAGATCAGCTGTCAGCATTTGGGAGCTTCTGCTGTGATGAGAAAAGTCTTGGAAGCAAAGGTCCTGTCCATCCCTATCTCCTGATGCCCCAACATGCACGGGGAGTTGCAGAAAGTAGGGAAGTGAGGGTGGTGAGCCAGTCGGAGAAAGAGGATCACGTTTTGTTTGTCTGTCTTGTTGATCTCCGTAAATCTCTGCAGATAATGAATGTGCCTTGTTAGTATCTGCTGTATGTAATGAGTTGAAAGAAGAGTTTGGAATATCCAAACTTCATCAAGTATTGAGACACATTTATTTCTACTTTGCTTGGCAAGTAACTAGAGCCGTTTGCTGAACCCTTCATACCTTTTATCTCTGTATAGTATATTTAGTGCTTTGTCTGCAAAAGGTGTGTCGAGAAACCAGGTTACATTTTGAGATGCCAGAAGAAGGTGTAGGTTCCTTAGCGAGCAGGGGCTGTAACCCTGGGAATTTTCCAGTTACTGCAGTGTCAGTAATCTGCCTCACTAATAGGCGGCTGAAAGGCAACGCCACCTGATGAGTATGCTCAGAGTAGGGTGTGGATTTTTTTTTTTGTCTGATTCTGCTGAGGGGCTATAGTATATGTTGCTTCAATTTTATTTACCTGGTATGATAAAGTGCTGTTGATTGTTGCTGTTGGGACTTTTTTTGATGGTGGAATGGGGATTGAGGTACAGGAGAAGATGAAGCAATGAGGACCGGAGAGCATGCTGAAGATGGGAATGGTTAGTAAAATCAGGCAAGGAAACCAGGACAGAAGTTAGTACTAAAGTAAATTATTAGTTTCAGTTTCCTAAATGACCACAGGCAGGTAATTTAAGACACAGCATTTTATATTGTTGTGTAAAATACATGCCAGATATGCCTGAATACGTGTAGTCAAATAGCAGAGTCCTCTGATAGTGGGGGGGTGGTACAGGTGTGGGACAATTTGCATGGTCAGACAAAGGTGTAAATGTAACTTATTTTTAAAAATAAGATTTTATGAGCAAAGACAACTGACAGTGAACTTCCTTGGTTTTGGTGGGATTAGTGTCTTATCTGTTGCGAGGAATACCTTCTCTTTTTTACAGCATTGTGACCAGCTTTCCAAACAAAAAAACAGTATTTGTGGCAAACATACCTGTTTTGTCGGGAGAATGAAAATGATCTGCACCTGAGAATTGGAAAGTTTTTACAAGTTGTCATTTACCTTAAAGAGCAAATCAAAGCTGTGATTATTTTCAGTCATTTTTTAATTATTGTCAGCAGTGGGTGGTGACCATAAAAAAAAAAAATAATTATTACAGCTCTTGTCTGAGAGGGAAACTGGCATACTTGTTTTAGGGGAAAAGAGATATATCAATTATGGAAAATTAAAGCTTTTCTAATTAAATATTTTCTCATGCTTTGTAAAGAGCAGCTTTCTTTTCTTCCCACTTGTTCACATGTAACTGAGTTCCTTTCATTTTAGTTCTGCTTCATAAATGCTAGAGTCAAACAACTCAAGTGCAAGGGAAAACCTTTTATATCAAGTTCTGTTTCACATAGTGATAGTTATGGCATAGCAAAATGTCAGATGCAGAAGTATCCCTGTAACCTTAAAATGTCATGTAATGTAGTGCTTTGGTAGCGTGGAGTTTGTTTGGACTCTGGTCCAAACCACAAGAGTTTTAGTGTGTGTCTGCTACGTGATTTCTTGGGGGTCACCAGAACTTAACGTTCCATGCTTGGTTAAGGTTTGAGTACTTATAACTGGAAGTAAACGTGGGTTTCTGCAGTGTTTTGTTTTTCCATGGAGCTATGAAGGGACGCCTTTCATCAGTAATTTACAGATCACAAGTAGTTAAGTTGTATACGAGATCTCCATCCTTGGAGATTTTTGAAACTTGATGGGACAAGACCCTGAGCAACCTGTTCCGATGTTGAAGTTAGCCCTACTTTGAGCAAGAGGTCAGACTAGAGACTTCCAGTGGTCTCTTCCAACCTAAGTGTTTCTGTGATTTTCTGTGGCTAGTTGGCTGTCTCTTTAATTAATAAAATTATCACTGAAATCAACATATATCGCTAAATCTTTGTGTGTGTGTCTAAATCCCTTTGAACTTAGATAGTGAATTTAAATAGTGAATATTCATTCAACAGATAGTCATATCGTTCACAAAACTACAGGGTTCTGTTATAGATGTCACTGCTGCTGTTTGTTACAGCATCAAAACCTTGTTAGCTAATTTGCTGGCACTTCAGATAAGACAAATTTTTAATTAGTTCCATTAACAGATGAGTTCCAGAGAAAGTGTGTGCTCATTCATGATGACAGACTCTTGAGTATTGACAGCACTAGCCTTTCTTTGAGTTCTGCAATCCAGATTTTGGCGAGGGTGGGAAGTTATCCACATAACCTATGTGAATTCTTCTATATTTTTCAGGACCCATGGGTATGTGGTTTGGAAGCTGCTTCTGAGTATAGCCATAATCAGGAACAGGACATAGAGCATTTCAAAACTCCGAGTGACAAAAGATTTCAAACTGACAAACACACACGAGCTGTCAGCACTAAGGAGCTTTTAAAGTCAAGCCTACGACAAGCTGTGCCATTATACAGAGCTGATCCTTCCGATTGTTGCCTGCTGAAGGATACGCAGTTTAAATCTTTGAGTACCATTCGAACACCTATCTGCAACCGACATCAAACAGTTGCAACTAGTCATTCTGATGCCGTTGTTGAACTTCATCCACCATTGCAGAAGGAATGGGACACATGCGCAATGAGGTCTGCAGCTGCTTCCGATATACAAACAGAAGTCTATTTACCAGCTCAGAAGAAGCTGTCTGTGGAAAAGTGTTCTGAAGATACGGCTAAGCAAATTACTTCTATCACCTTTTCATCCCAAAAACGTTTGCAGTTACCATTAACTTCCATGGCGCTCAGCACTAGTCTTGGTAGAGATGGTCTTGATGGGATAATGCCTTTGGAGGTTGACTCTGCTAGCACTGAGGAACAGAGCCATGACAAACAGCACTGGGAAGGATATAAGACCTGTCCTCTAAGTCCAGTGCTTGCTGGCTCAGTGTCTAATGAGATTGCTTTTACTGCTGAGAGAGACAGGTTTCATTATGTCTCTGCTGACAGTAACAGAGTTGGAGCTTATCAAGAAACAGACTGTTTGTCAGATCAGGATTCTGTAAGCATCCATGCTGATAAAAGACAGACCCTTAGTGCAAAAAATTCTGATGTTCTGCCTCAAGATGTGACTGAGTTGGGCAGGCATAGTGCCAGACTCGTGGGGCTTGACTGCAGTACAAGATTCAGTCAAGAAACGAATAGATTTGATGAACCCCATTCTGTAACCTCTTACCAGCAGGAGAAAAGCAGCCCACCTGGCCACGTCCAGTTGTATGAGAGCTTAGAATGTTCAGCTGTACAAACTGATTTGCTGAAGGGCCGTATTAATTTGTTGGCAGAAGAAAACAAAAGTCCTTCTGATGAATTACCTCTCACTCAGAAAGAGGTTGCGAGAGAGCAAATCGATACGTCTCACCATTCATCTACGGATGAGGTTTTATCCACCACGTCTGTATGTCCTTCATCACCAACTAAGAAAGTACTGTCTTGTGTCCACGTAACTCTTTCCTCGAAGTGTAATAACTCAGAGCTGCATAGTGACTTGAACACTCCAAATGAGAAGAGATCGTGGGATAAACCTGAAGTTAATACTCAACCTGTGTCTTTAAAAACTCCAGCAACTTTAATAGAAGCTGTTTCTAAATTATCAGCTGCTGACCTTATTCCAGAAGATCAAAGATCTTCATCTTTCCCAATGCCAGTGTCTTCAGCAGATCCCTGCCTAGTGCTTTCCCCTGTTACAAGCATAGTGGGGCAAGAGCTGCCTCTGCAAAGCAGTGAGAGACCACAAGTTACTGTTCTGGGTTCAGGGGGGTGTAATCTGAAGAATATCTTCAACTCTGTAGTTCCTGCAAAAACTGGGAAAAGTACTTCTGATGCTGCCACTCAGATAACAACAGAAAGTCCTGAAAAAACAACCTTTTCAGCAGAAATTTATGTTAATTCACAAGACGGTGAAAATGCTGTCCACCAGTCGTCTCTCCAGAAAGCACATGAACTTCCCAACAATACAACTTCATCTCTTAACAAGATTTCCTCTTTCCCAAGGCAGGGTGGTGAGCAAATTACTGTCTTATATGTATATCTAGACTTTAATCTATTCAAGTTTGAGATATTTATAGGTATTAAAAACCGAAAACAAACCCAGCTTTTTTTGTGGAAGTAACATTCTTGAGATAATTTTGATATTTAAAGTCGCTCATATGGGAAAAAACCCAACCCTTAAACTTGGGCTTTGCAGTCTTGTGGGTAGGGAGTTGTATCAGTACAGTTGTGATTCATTTCAGGTCTAGCTGGAATGGAATTTGTTGTGTACAAGTCTGGTTCAAGAAAACTTTCTGACATTTGTTTCTAAATAATTTGATTTGGTTCACTGCTTAGAGTTTATCAAGAGATATATCTGACATACTGATTTACTCTCTAGTCAAGGTAGTACAAAAACTAAGAGGAGAATATGCACATCACTATTTTCAATAGAATAAAATAGAAAATGTGGAGGGCTTTTAAATCTGTTGATGGAGGAACGTGGATGTTGCGCAGTGGTTTCCCACAGTGGTGTTTTATACTACTGATGTGTGTAGACTTGTGTAGTTTTCATGATTTTTCCTGGGCTCCAGGCTTTGTATCTCTGTTCTCAAGGTGTAAAATAGTATGAGTTGAGAGAGCAGATTCTTGCATTATATCAGAGTGCAAAAAAATATTTCGGCTATCTGATCACCTCTTCTCTTTGCTGTTAGAAGTCAGCTACGTTCTGGTCCAAACATTTGATGAAATGCTGTTATGACAGCATGCTGTTTTTATTGACTTGAGAGACAGATATCCACGCTCATTTAAAATTATTTCATGAAACATGGATCAGCTGGGAGCTATGTGGGTATGTGAGGGGTTTTGTTTTTTTTAAGTCGGTGTTTGTCACCCTAATCACAAATTTAACATTGAATAGGTAAGTAAGCTATTTTTTCTAGCTAAGAGACAGTCATCCTTCTAACCATTGGGTGGGTATTAAATAATTAAATTAATTAATTAATAATTGCAATTTATTTTCCTAAAGAATAGGGTATTTCTCCAGATTTACCACAGTGAACATCTTCAGCAGTCTCCTTGGGTCCTGATTTGTTGCTTTTATCTTCAGTTGCATTAAAGGATTAAAGCCTGACTTCTGTTAATTGCTTTGCGTCCCACAGATCAGCCGTTATTGCTGCCGTATAAACCTTCTGGAAGTACTGGGATGTATTATGTTCCTTATCTAAAGGCAGGATCCAAAATTTCTCCAGTTGGGTCAGAAACCAGTGCTGAGAGCTCTCACTCAGGTACTTATTTATCTTAGGCCTTCCAAATGCAAAATGATGGCTGTGGTTCATGGATCAAAATATACCTATTTCGTATGCGGAGTTGTCTCAGTTGAGCTCAGAACTCTTCTGTCCTACCAGTTTAGAGTAAGTGCATTGATGTTAATAGAAAAATGTCTTTGTTCATGTTCACACCACTTTATAACACAAAGATGTATGAGTCCTGACTGAAGGCTATGGTTTAAATTTCTTTGATGAAAGGGATGTTAGTACTCCATTCTGGCAGTGGAAAGAAACAAGGCTCAACGTTTTACAGCTTGATAATTCTTTACTTTCCTCTGGGAATTACTATTCAGTTTGGACTCTTTTCATATCTCTGCCAGTTCTCCTTCTTTTTAGTTCCCTTATTTATGTACATTCTCCCCTTTTTTTATATTAATTTGGTATGAGTGCATTCTGAAATATCTGCATAATACAACACGCATTTCAGATAATAGCTTTCTCAGTACTGAATTTCTTTCCTCCATGTTAGGGGATCCCAGTGTAGAAAGCCCTTCTATAAACTTGTAACTGTGGTTTAAAATATATATTCACGTCTTCCCCCCATCCTCCCATCTCCTAGTGAAAAACACTTCTCATTTATCGGGGGAAAGGATGCTCTGTGATTCGTCAACTTCTTTTGCTTTGCCTGCTCTTATTTTTCAGTTCTCTCCTATATGTAAAGAATGCATCACTTAAGCATTATAGGTCTTGTTTGTAGGTTATTTTCAGTGAGAGCTTTTTGACATCCAAAGTTATTTGTAGACAAAACTAACGTTACAGAGATGTCCAGTTCCTGACAGACGTGCCCCAGGGAAGCAGGTTGATACAACAGTGACAGTAAGTGCACAGATTAGTCAGCATAGCCACAAATTGTGCTTGTAACTGTTTATATGTGCCTCTGATCATCACCTTTTTCCAGTCTGTCTGTTGTAATATAGTCAAAAGGAGAGAAACAAATGTGATGTGAGTCTGTTGTTTTGCAAAAAGTATGATGCTAGATATAAAAATTCAATATGCATATGAGGCAGTGCAAGGTTCTAGAAAATGTATGGCAGAATTAAAAAATAAATTTTGTTTTTTAAACTGCCTGCTGCAGCGAGGATTCTTAGCTCATGAGTAGTAGCTGAAGGAAGTTGAGTTGAGTAAGTCTGCTGAATGTAACCAGGTGGTGTTGACAAGGATGATAAATCAGTTAGGGGCCATTTTAGGTTTCTAACATTAGGAGACAGCGATATGATAGCGAGAGGGCTCTTGTTTAGAGGTTATACAGACCTACTTTAGTCTTCCAGTTTTTCTCCATTGCTGTTCTGAGCTTAGAAAATAGATATTTACATCAGTCAGTGAAAATGTCTGGAATTTTAATGTGAGCAGAAGGGAGTCTGGACATTCCAAGTCCTGTGTCTGGCTTCCTAGCAAACCTGTCTAATGCTAACTTTCTTGTATTCTTCTCTGCTCATTAGCAGAGTAGGTAAAATTTATCTACCTCTCAGGGAAGAACATTGTCGCTAAAGATCATGGAGAACAATGTGGCGTAATACCTGCTGCTGCTGTATTAGTCACTAGAACTGCTCACTAGAGATCATGATTGTTGGTTGCTGAATATACTGGTACTAATACTTGGATAACAGGCTTTCTTTCAGACGCTGTCTTTGTTGTGAAATTTCTGTATCTATTTTTCCTGCTGCCTCTTTTTACTCATAGTTATTGATCTCTTTCTCTGCAGGGTCAAATGATGCTCTTCCTCCAAGGTTTCCGGCAAACATGCTTGCTTTAAGGGATGATAACCCTCCAGACAGTACAGCTATCAAGCACAAAGAAGGAATTTACAGTAAGAGGGCTAAGCCCAAGATAGCCTGGGCTGAGGAGCAAATGATACCGCTGGAAGCTTTCCCAGGTAGTTAAAGTGTGTGTTTAATTTTACTTGTGTTTTCATACACATGAAAGAAAGCAGAGCAAAAGAATTATGTTTCAGGATCCATGATTTCTGGTCTCATGATATTGCTGATAGTCTGCTTGAAGATGCTGAATTTGACTCGTTTTTCTCTTCCCTATCTTTCTGCTCCTCCCTGACAGCCCAAATACTTGGACATTAGTATTTGCTAGCATTCCAGTGGCCCCAGTGCTTATTGGAGCCTTTGTAAGATATTTTTTTTTTAGGTTTGGTGGGGTTTGGCTTTTTTTAGTTTTTGTGTGTGTTTTTTTTTTATAAGACACTCTTAAGTTTGTGAAGTGCAAAGTCGTCTTTAAGTGTAGAAAGGATGCCCGTGTAGAAAATGACAGAAATTCCCTGGTAAATAAAAGCAGGTGGGATGGCTCTGTATATTGGGTTGGGGTTGTGTTCCTGCCCACAAATACACTGACGTCTTGTGAGGTCATATAAAGTATCTCTGTAATGTTGGTATTTAACTGACTTTTTAAATTTGATTTGACTGATGTCTCTTTCTTCCTCCCCTCCATTAACCTTGTTGGATGGTACTCCTGAGGGATGAAGGTCAGGGTTTACTACTCTAGTAGCCTACTTTAAGGCTTTATTTGTTGAGAATGCTGACAAAATGAAATTACACTGTGCTAACTGATGATTTTGACAGTGTGTCTCATGACAGTAGCTAAAATTAGTCCTGATGGACACTCCTTTTGTACAAAACCTTATTCTGTGATTTTGAGTGGCAGCTGAACTTCCTCGAGTCTGAGTAGGGATGAGGATTTTTGTTGTGTTTGAGAATTGCATCTTGTTCCTGGACAGAAGTAACTGTAAACAGAAAATTGCTCGGTGGTTGCCATCTCTCCTAAATGCAGCTATTAATTCCTCAGGGAAGCTGTTTATTGCGCAGTACAGTATTTTGCAACATGTGCTATATTAAACAAAGAGTGGGCAAATTGCAAGGAGGTAATATAATTGTGGCTGTTAATGAGGAATGGGACCTGAAACATATGAACAGCGTAATGGATTCTGAATTAGAGAGTTCCTGCTCTCTTCTAGGCAGTCACATATATAGGGTTTTTGGGAGCCCATTTATTTTTCTTAGTGTCACGTAAACTTGTTATATGAAGACATTTAATGAAACAGATTTTTATGGAGTACCTCAGTGTGAATATTATTGTCCTTTTTAAGCAGGCAGCTCAATATGCCTGGGGTAAGGTCACCCCACAGACCTGTGCTGATGTATTGATAGGGATTCCTTCTGATGATTTTAATTCTTCACTGTAGAAGGGGTTTTCTTTGAAGGTTTTCTCTTCAGAATGGAGAGATTTTGGTAGTTCCAGAAGATAATTTAAAATGATTGCATAAGACATGCTGAACTTCATTGTTTTATGTTCATTTTACTTTTTTGGTAAGTGTACATAGGACCAATAGTTGAAGTAGTGCAACAATAAAGACAATGTTGTCTTAACCTGGCTTTTCTAATGGAAGAAATAATTCTCTGTGAGCGTTTATAAAATGCAAGGATATGGAAACAAATGGAGTAAGATAGAAAAATGCTTTTTTTTTCATTTACTGCGGGTAACTCAGAAGAATGCTGGGTCATGGCGGTAGAGCTGAAGAAAGAGGGTGTGTATAGAAGTGAGCTCTCCGAACAAGAATCTGCAGTAACAAAGAAAATATCATGTTGGAGCAGAGATCAATGGATACCTGTCTCTCTGAATAGCCTGGATAAAAATGAAAGGGGAACACAGGTGTTAATATAAAATTATCTGATAGTATTTTTCTGTAGTTGTGATGGTCTAAAGACACAGGCAAGAAAAGAACTGTAAGCAGAAATAATCTTTTGTTAAACCAGCCAGTACAGTTGGAAATTTAAGCAAGCTTTCTGAAGAGACTTGCATGTCTAAAATCTTCTCTGACTTCTTCAACTATATTTTTAGATGGTCTAATAAAAGATTACCTCTACCCACAGAGCTTGTCTAGAACTTAAAATTATGCAAGTTATGTGTTTTTTTTTAAAAAAGTTTCTCTATATAGACTTATTTTTATTTTTTGCCTGTTTGCATTCCTTCCATTTTGTTGGTAACTTTTTGAAAATACAGAAATAGCAAAAATTCTGCATAGTATTCCCAAGCCTGATCTCATTTGTCAGGAGGATGTGGAGGAATCCTCTTACATGAGTATATAAACATTGACCTTGTATGGAAAGACAAATTCCTCCAATTTCAGAGTTAGTGAGACTGGGTCTGGTTATGCTACTCATGATCTTGATGTTACACTGAAGTGTCTCTGTGTTGGGAAGGGAAGAGATGTATAAAATGTGAGGAAAAAAGTGACTAAATAAAAGTAAGGTTTATGAGGCAGTGTTAACACTATGAATTCATGCAATCGTAACCCTTCCTGAGCTTATCTTGCATCACTTTTTCCCATGTGGAATTGAGGATTTATAAAAACATAGCTTGTGATTCTTGGTGAGGTGGGTAGGTATTTTCCTCCTGGGGTAGGGAGAGGCTTGGCTGTGGGACTTGCCACCCTTTCGCTGAATCAGTGGCAAAGCTTGCTCAAACGAAGGAAGGAAGACCTGGTTTCCAGTTCTGTTCTCATCAGTAGATCACGGTCACGGAAACAAGACTGTTTAAAACAAAACAACAAAAATACAAACAAAAAACAAACTTAGGAGGAATGTTGGAGAGCTAGAGAAAAACTAGTATGAGTGTGATTCCTGCCATTAATGGGGCTTGATGCGCATTTGCTGACAGCTCCCCATTACCTAGGCACTGGTGTTACCATGAGTAAATGGACTGTTCTTTTTTTCTATTGACTTTGTATTTATATTAAAGCTATTACTACTCTATAAGGCATCTTTACACGACATACTTGGCTAAAATGGCATGGAGTATCTTGCAGTAAGCATAGGGACTTGGGAAATCCTTCTGGCACTAGCACCTGTAATTCCTACTTTCTGCCTTCATGGATCATTGTATAATTCAGTCCATTGTACAAAGAACATAACACGAAACACATTTTTACATTTTAAAATTTGATTTTTTTTTTTAACAGTGTATTACAAATGGCTTTAAAATTATTTTGGATTATATTCCTGCTAGCACATGCTGCATGCATACTTAATGTATGTCTATCACAAATGAGTTTATAATTGGATTTCTGCATATAGTCCTTTGTAATTTCAGATAGTAGCATATTCTGGGGGGATTTCACTGCTGCTTTGAACTAAAATGTGTCATCTGAGCTTGAAAGCAAAGCAGGGCTAGATCTTTGGTATGCTATCAGAGATGGTTTGAGGAGCTGTGCAGGAAGTGGTATTGGTTGTCTTTATATATATGCTGTTCTGAGTTAGTTAAGAGATAATGTTCAGGCATAGCCTTAGGGGATGTTTATACTCCCTGGGCATGTGTCTGAAAAGAGGCAAAATGAGTTATGGCTGCCTGTCATGAGTTTCCATAAATATAAATAAAGACTCAGTCCAAATTTTGGTCTGGGTAATTAGCTGTGGTGTATCTAGATTCCTCCTTCAGATTCAGTTGGATATAATATTCTCTTGGATTCCATGTTACAAATGATAGAAAATATTATTTGTGTACTTTGAATAATGCTGAAACTTCATTTCTAAGTTTGTTGCATTTTGGGAATGGGTACAATGATTCCTGCTTTCAACCCTTTGAAGTGTTTGGAAAATGTTAGGACGAAAATCATCCTGTTTACGATTTGCTGTTTGCTACTTGCTTCCTTGTAAAGAAACAAAGATTTTAAAGTGTCGTCTTCTCTTCTAGAACGCACAGATCATTCGAAGTCTGTAAAAACCACTCATTCGGTCTTCAAATCTGCACGGTTCTACCTTCATCGTCCAATGCCCGTGTGCGAGAGCTACTTCCTGTCTGACAGCTCGCTGTCAGAAGGCAGTTCTGGCATTAGACGTGCTAGACCTTCCTCAGGGCCTGTCTTGCAGAATCGGAAAAAAGCACATCGTCATCAATGTGGTTTCTCTGTTTGTCATAAAAAAGGTGGTGAAAATGAATTCTTTCCACTCACTGCAGAAGCAGATTACAGCAAGAATGAGGATCTAAGTGTTAGTTTGGGGAGTGAAACGTCCGGGAAGGAGCTACTTCAACATGGCAGAAGAGAAGCAGAACAAAAGGCAGCTAGAAATTATCCTGTGCCGTGTAGCCAAACAACTCCCCTTAATGAGACTGTGGAGAAAGACCTGCCACCGAGACAGAGAACCCACTCCAGGGGTAGATTAGATGAACTCTGGATTAAGTTTTTGGAGTGCCAGAAGAGACACCAGCACCATGATTGTAGGAGTAACGGTGAGCTGTCCCTTGTTGAACGCCTCGATCGATTGGCCAGGGTCCTTCAGAATCCCATTAAGCATACACTGATACCAACAAAATCTGAAAAGAATGTTTCTGAAAAGAAAACTAAGGGAAGAGAGCAGAAGAAAATAAGACTGCCAGAAAAGAGCATGTCTGAAAGTACCTTAAAGCCTAATGCAACACATGTTGAAGAAAGACCTTGTATCACCAATGATAAAAATTGCCTTGTTGAGCTCAGGAAAAATGGGTCAGGAGAAAAAATTATCTGCCACATGAATAAAATTTTGGAGCACCAGCAGTACTTGGAAACTCCTAGTGACACTTCCTCAGAGACAAGGCTTAGTAGGGATCACGGCACCACAATCAGTTCCACCACCTCTGAATCAGATGTGGTGACCCAAACAGAGATGGAAACTGCTACTCAGACTGAGGAGAGCAGTTCCATTTCCACCATTGATACTGCCAGGCTGATCAGGGCTTTTGGGCATGAAAGAGTGCAGGTGTCACCAAGACTCTCCCAGCTTTATCATACCATCAACCACCAGAAGAGTCGCTCTGAAAAGCGGGACAAGGGAAGTGGCAAAGCAGTGGGTGTAGAATATCCAAAGGTTACTTCCGAGAGACACAGGAAAAGGAAAGAGATCCAGGTATGTGGTCAGTTAGACCAAATGACAATTTTAACTAATCTTTACAGGAACTCCTAAACTGCTGTACAGTAGTAGAGTTTGTTCTTCGGAGAATCATTTAACATTTCCCAGAGAGTATTGTTTATATGGTAGGCTTCTGTCTTTGATCAAAGTAGCTCAAACAAGTCTGTCTGCCTTTCCAGGAATAAGGATGAGATCAAAATATCTTAAAACATCAATTGTGTTTTCTTTCCCTTTGTTCTTATTTATCTTTTTTCTCTTCCTTTATTTATCTTGGAAAGGAAGATCCTGCTGTATCTGATTTCTGGTTACCTGCAGGTTCTGTGCTTTAGCAATCCTGAAGACAGTAGTGGCAAGTTGAGGTTGTAGATTTTGACTGCATATTGCTACCTGAATATCTCTGGGCCACGATGATACCATTTCATAAAAATTGGAATTATTATTTGAATTTTCTTACTGTTTGTCTATTTTAAATGTTGGAATTACTTTCTCTTGCTGAGTGTTGGTTGTAAGCTGCTTCAATTTCTGTATTTGGCGGTTTAGGCGTGTTAAAAGACCAAGCCTCCACCTTAAGCATTCTAGGTGAAAAGTCTGGAGTAAAGCTGTTTTAAAGTGGAGGAAATCTTTCTGATTACTTCAGCTGAATTTGGCCATTGCCCTTTGGAGGAGAAATGAAAATTAATTTCCTGAAAGGGAGCCTTGGCATGGATTTGGTGACTATAGTAAGAAATTACAGAGTTTTGGTGTTCTGTAACATGCATTAATGCTGAAAAGTACAGGAACAAGTGAGAAATATTTTTCTTTTTTTCATATTAACAGAAGAAAGTGGTAGTGTCGTCATTACCAATAGATTTCATTGAAATGAGTTAGGGTTTGGTTTTTTTACAGAAACAACTCTAACTCAGTCTGTGTGTCAAGTAAGCTAATGAATGTATGTCTGGGGGAGAAACACTGTTTTTCAAGACTAAGAATGGTTTTAGAAAGATTTTTATTAATGTTTTTATAATATTTATTTAAAGGTAAAATAAAATTGTCATAAACTTTGCAACATTAGGACTATTAATCAGAACACTGACCATTTAACAATGAGATTCAGATCCAACATTTCTTGCACGGTTGTAGTATTTAGGAGATTATTTTATTTCATATTCCATTCATAAGACTAATCTTTCAATGTCTGTTTGGACCTTAAAAGCAACATCTAGTCTTTTGCCTGTTGAAATCACCCGTGAGATAACTGATTGCAGTAATAGTATATGAGAATAAAGGCTCACCGTTCCTGGTGCTTGGTGTTGCATTGAGCCCATATGGCTTTAGAAAGTAGTATCTTTTATCTGCTGATGTAGTGTTCTTTTTAAAAATACATATAAAGAGACACATAACCCACCTCAAATAAGGAGTGAGAGAAAATTGATGGCAAAATGGCAAACTTAATTTAAAATCCAAATTTTGGTAATGTCTGTGATGCTTGGCTGAACAGAAATCAAGATTTATTTTTTTTTAGCTGCAAATATCTGTAGTTCAGAGACAGATATTTATGTATAGGAGGAGCCCTACCCCTAGAGAGACTACTGTACGAATCTTTCAGGCAAGATTTGCATTTTGTAGCTCATTTTTTTTTTTTTTATGAGAGCCTATTGTCAGCTCTGCTTCCAGAAAACTTGGCTACAGCTTTTTTTATTTATAGATGCTGAACCCATCCCAGAAGGTTTTTATTTATTCCAGTATCTCTAAAGCACTCTTCAAGCTGCCATCTGGTAGCAGGTACAAAGCTAAAGGTTGCACTGTTCAGCTGCTGAAGGGCTTTGAAAGCACTGCACTGAATAGTCTAGTCCAAATAGGAATATGCATGTCAATATTCAGTATTGAATGGCTGCTTATATTTATTTGTGCAGGCTGATATGCATATGCATGCAAATGGGTTATCTTGTTTTTTTCCCTTACTTTATACTCTCTTCATTTTTGCTGAGCGCATATTCAAATTTGCTTCTGTTCTCTGAAAGAAGATACATATCTACTACATCTGTCTAGTGCACTCTACTAGAGCTGAAATAGCTTTATGAAACTAAAAAACAGTTCTTGCCAGTATGCATGAGAGTAAAAATTGCCTCCTTTTAATGTTGAAATGAAATTATGTTTTGCATTGAAGTGGTGATAGCAGAGGTTCAATAAAAAGGTAATAAAAAAGCCTCTGTTCATTTGCATCGTGGCTAGCGTTATGAGTTACTAATAGGATACTAATTGCTATCATCAAGGAAAAAAAATAAATCTGTTTCATAATTAAAAATTAAATTCAGGGGAGTTGCAGAGATTGGTCTGTGCCGCACTGTTGGATTTGAAGCCTGGGGAAGCACTGTCAGTTAATTGCTGTTAATAAAGCACTAACCTTCTTTGTATTTTATATAACCAAAAAACATGTGGACTAGATGCATTACACTTACAGAGTATATTCCTTTTTAAATGGCTGTAAAGCTATAACATGACATAAAATTTAAATTAATTTATTATAACAAAGTTGTGCTGCTTACATCCCTGCAGCTGGAACTTCTGTTTGTGTGAGTGGTGAAGATGTGAAACTAGTGCTTTGCCTAAGCCATGATCTTACCACGTGTCTCCTTTTTTCTTGTTTTTATTGAGTTTAGTTTTCTCCACCTGGAGAACTTTGTGTAATGAGGATCACAGGGGGAGAGAACTTCCCATGTTTTGAAAGGACTTTGCTCTGCCATGCCAGTGGTACAGAACTGGAGTTCAATGTGAATTTACAAAGCAACATGTTAATCTTTCAAGACAGTTTGTTTCTCCAGCAAACCCAGCAACCTTTAAAGGCTTTTGGTTTGAGAGGGTAGGAATATAGGATTCGGTTTAGGTGTTTATTCTCCCTCTTTCCAAAGCAGAAATATTTCACACTTTGTGGTCTTTCATGACAGTACAGCCAACAAATGATCTTGCCACAGCAAAGGTTTTTATAAGTCTGTCTTGACAGGCCACATTGTCTCGGGAACTTCTGACAAACGAATTGGAGGATGCTCAGCGCTGTACAGAATCTGATCACAGGCAAGCTCTTGCCTGCAGAAACCATGCACTCTTCTTACCAGAACGGGATGCAGAAAGTGCATTGGTGCATGAGGATAAAGTCAAGGCTGACTGTTGCGTGGCATAGCAATAAGAGACACCGATCAGCCTGTGATAAACATCTAAATAACAACAGAATCAAAGTACAACAAGTGAAGAGTGATGACTATAACTTTTTTGCTGTTTAAAACCTGCTTTCTGTTCATTTTGGTTAGTATTTCAGGAATTTCTGTTCTCTTGCTTGTTTGGGTTTTTTTGTGTTTTTTTTTCTAGAAGGCGGTCTCCCTTTCATCGGATTTACCTTCTGCAAGCAGCAGTTCATGGGGGCCAAGCTCTGCTCTTAGTAACAAGCGGCGGACACGGATGCTAAACAAAGGTATCCAAGCAGGTGAGTTGTTGAATTCCAGACTTGTTTTGTCTGTATTTGCTTCTGCCTTTCATCTCTTTGGAAACCGTTCTCGAAAGTCTGTTGCATGTTTCTGGTGATGGGTATGTACACGCAGCATTCTTCAAATTCACTTCAAATGCTTTTAGAGAAAGGTGTTATGTTCTAATTAAAATGAGCCATTTCATTTCCTTTCTTGGTCTGCTTGAGTAGTAGCCAATTTTCTCACTTGCTTGTAAGTTTTATTAACCTAAGCTGCTGATCCATTTCGATAGTAAAGGTGGACTAACTGTATTTTTTTATACATTGTTTTCTCCGCAAGACATCTGTTACTTACAGAATGTATTTTGTGGGCATATGCTATTTCAGAAGGCAACTGCAGTGTTTTGTATTCTTCTTGGTAATATTTTGGATGTTATATTCTATTTAAAACATAAGCTGATCCTGGACTGGTGCAGTGCTGCACTTGGGTTTTTCTGGTGGCAATTGTCAGTTTATCCATTGCTTTCATTTACACGCCAAGTTCCCATCATAAGATTGAGTAATGGCTTTGTTTTATTCATCAGACATATCAATTATTTATTTATTACTGCTTTTTTTCATGTGCAAGTGGATTGAATCACAAAGGTATTTTCATGGCTTGTTTTCAAGATCATGTTATGACTTTTTGAATGTTAGTTGACACCTTCCACTTCATATGTCCCTGTTAAATATTTGGGGTGGTGTTTCTGTTAAATATTTGTAGTGCTGTGAGCAAACCAATCTTCTACAGCTAAAACATAGTTTTGGATGGGACACACTGGGCAAACCAGCAGGTCCAGAAAAACCTGCAGTTCCATTGTCCAAAAAGTAAAGCTGTATGTTGACCTGCTATTGTGTCTTTCAGCAGCAGATTTGACGTTAACTCTCCAGAGAGTCAGCTGAGGTCCCCAGCAAGTGGCATAGTTGGTTCAAGTTTAATTCCCATCCCCCATATATACACACACACACACACACACGAAAGTTACTAATGGGTAATAATGAGTTACTATATACATACATACATATATATATATATGCTTGTTTTGCTTGGGGTACTTGGTTTATACCACTTTAACGTTATTCAGATAATCATATAGTAACAATCCTGAGTCACTGTAAACTCTCCTTGAATCGAAAGTGGGAATATTAAAGATTTTGACTTTTGAAGGTGGGATAAAGAAAGTGATCCTTCAGCTTCAAAGTAAAAATTGAGGGTCATCCTCTGAACTATGCATGTCACGCGTGCTGATGTTAAAGTAGTTCTAGCTACTCTGGAATAAGATGTTACTGCTTCTTTTTCAACTACAGGAGACTTGGAGATTGTGAACAGTGCAACTAAGAAAAACACTCGAGATGTTGGTGTGACTTTTCCTACCCCAAGATCTAGCCAGCCAAATCAACGGCCGCAGGAACCCTGGCATTGTGTTGATGGTAATTTTGGGGAGTCAGATGGTATGGTCACAGATCATCGGGCAGCAGGAAGCAAGGGTAAGCAGAAGGGACAGCCAGGCAATTTTTTTGTGGAGAAAAGGACGAAAAGGAGCAGGCTGCATTTACCACAAGGTCAGTCCAAAATACGCTTTCTCTTGCAGACTAGAAAAGCTGTATATCTCAACAGCAACCAGCAAAATATGTGAGGAGAATAAGCTAGGACATGGAGTAGTCTCTGTCACTAGCACAGTCTGTTCTTATTCTGTTTTTATTCAACGAATTGTAAACAAAACCACTATGTCAAGTGAGCTCTCTAATGCTCTATTATGATGGCATTTTCAATTGAGCTGTTAAATGCAACCTAGCCAGTAAAGGTAGTAAATGGGAAGCAGTGAATAAGGCGAGGCAAGATGAATGAGATGGGAATCATGTAGATGCTTAACTTTGATTTTCAAGGTATAAAAGGTTCTGTTAAGCTCTGAGTAACTGGTCACTGTAAGTTGTACTTACTGTTTCATGTACTGAGGCTTCAAAGAACAAGTATTTTTTCAGGAGTACTTGAGGGAAGATTGTGGCACCAGAAGAACTAGACTTGTCTCCCTCTTTTAGCTAGAGTTGCATTTTTGGGCTGATGGTGTAGCCTGCTGACTTTTTTTTTTTTTTTAAATTTCCTGTCAGTCTTCACAATGTCATGATTAAATGTTTAAAAATGTTTTCCTTAGTCATCATTGTTGTTGTTGTAGGGACAAATCATTCTCTCTCTCATACCGGTTTAATTTAGAATATCTGCTCAGAGTACTAGCTGATGTATTCAAATCCCCTTATGTATGTAAACTGTGCGTAATCTAATTCTTGTATACATATTTAACATTTGGAAGATGTAAAGCATTTGATCTTCAAAAAATATCTATAAAAAGCCATAGGGCTTAGGACAGCACAGAGGCTCCTTAAAAATGAAAAATTGCTGATAAATAACTATTCTTTCTATAAAGAGAGAAACTTGCAAACTAAGCCATTTTGTGCCTTTTCAAAAGTGTTGTTTGACAAAGACTTACTGGTTTTCTGACACTTGGCAAAGGAATTCTTTTGAAACTGCCAAAGGTGTCTGATACAGAGTCCCACTGTTATTAAACTGAAGTGAGTATTTATTGCAGTGTTAGGCCACTGATTGGACTTGGCTAAGACCTTGGGCATTGTCGTGGTTTAACCCCAGCCGGCAACTAAGCACCACCCAGCCGCTCGCCCACTCCCTGCCCCGGGTGGGATGGGGGAGAGAATCGGAAGGGTGAAAGTGAGAAAACTCGTGGGTTGAGATAAAGACAGTTTAATAGGTAAAGCAAAAGCCGCGCACGCAAGCAAAGCAAAACAAGGAATTCATTCACTGCTTCCCATGGGCAGGCAGGTGTTCAGCCATCCCCAGGAAAGCAGGGCTCCATCACGCGTAACGGTGACTTGGGAAGACAAACGCCATCACTCCCAGTGTCCCCCCCTTCCTTCTTCTTCCCCCTAGTTTTATTGCTGAGCATGACATCATATGGTATGGAATATCCCTTTGGTCCCGGCTGTGTCCCCCCCCAGCTTCTTGTGCCCCCCCAGCCTGCTCGCTGGTGGGGGGGGGTGAGGAGCAGAAAAGGCCTTGACTCTGTGTGAGCACTGCTCAGCAGTAACGAAAACATCCCTGTGTTATTGACACTGTTTCCAGCACAAATCCAAAACACAGCCCCATACAAGCTACTGTGAAGAAAATTAACTGTACCCCAGCCAAAACCAGCACAGTCATAAAGGGCCATAGATGGGGATGGAAAGTAGACACATGTATTGTCTACAAATCTTTATTCTCTTCTGTTATCTTTTAACAGGGATTTCATGGTTCGTCCAAGCAGAAGACTTGAAATCTGAATCTAGGAAAGAAAACCATTCCAATTCCTTTTCTGGTCCTGGTCCGTCTTGGTTTGAACCATTGACGAGCACAAAGCCTTGGAGAGAGCCTCTCCGAGAGAAGAACTGGCAAGAGCAGCAGCACAGCAACATGATTCAGCCAGCAGTTCCAGAAAGAGATGCTGAGAACAGGTCCTCGCGGCCGCTCGTGAAGCTTACGCTACAGGTAAAGGCACACTGCACTATAAGGCTGCTGAGATCTTGGTAGGATTTCAGGAGTTATGCTGAATCTTGCGGAAACACTTTTTGTTCCTTTTTTTATTATTTCACCTTTATAATCATTGGAAGTCAACATGTTACAGACTGCTCCTGCTTAAAAAAAAAACCCAAACAAAAAACCCCAAACAACCAAGAAAACCTACAAATTCATCAGTCCTTTTTGCTTACGGTAATCTGGCTTTCTACAATACACTAATCTATTTGAATTGATCTAATATTTTAGGGCTTAAATCACTTGGCTTCAGGAACTAGAGGGAATGTAGCTGACATAATGTCAAGTCATACTTGCTTCCATGCAGAAATAATACTGTGATGTACATAGTATGTGATTAAAATGGGCTTTAATTCATACAGTGCAAACTGTGTGTGTGTGTGTACATACATGCATATACGGTGTACACTTCAGATCGGGTGTGATCACTCTAAACATCTGTGGAAAAATACAGATGTAGCGTACAGAGAGATCATCCACAGCAAGTGAAATGTAAATTAGGAAGTGCTAACTAAGGTGCACTTCTGGAGTTTCTTTCAGTTCAGTTGCATCTGCTCATGTGCTCAGAGACTGCCCTGTGATGGAAATGGAAGTGTGGCAAATGGAGATATCAGGAGATTGCTTTCAAAATTCCACTTCTGATCCAATATAAATTGCTAATGTTGATGTGCCCACTGATTTATAACAAGGGAGATTGTAATAAGTTACAGAATCTTCTATCCTGTAGGCTCAACTTTGTTAACTTTTTGCCATGCTTTTCTGAGAAGAAGTTTGTGTCCCTTTTGCTAATTATTTTAGCAATTTTTTTTCTTTCTGGCCAGTTAATTTTCTGGTTGTTGACAAATAGTTTGTTAAACAAGGTCTCTGAGGATCTACCCAGCATTGAGGATACAAGATTTTGTATGTTATACCAAATACTGCTTTGATGGGAGTTTTTCCATGCTTTGGTAATGGTGTTAGATATTTTGATTATTCCCTTCCAGCTGTAGGGAGACAGTCTGGCCACTCTAGACTTTGTTTTGTGTCATCTCATCTTAGGAGGCTCTTGCAGTGCATCGCCCTGATTTCATCTCCCGCTCTGGAGAGCGTGTGAAGCATCTGAAGCTTGTAATGGAGGAGAGGAGGATACAGAGCGTACTGCAGTCTGAACGAGAAGAGCTATTTAATCCTCCGGAGAAAAGAAGGGGCTACAGGAATGCAAGTCACGTGCAGTCCGACAGAGGTACCTTCATGGTTCTGCTTTGTACGTTCTGTAGGAATTAATGAATTTCCACATTACACTAAGGGTGTGTGTATTTTTAATAGAAGTATTACAATTACTTAACATTATTGTCTATAAGAGTTCATAACTTAAAAAGGAGTCATATTGTTGCAGTACTATTCTTTGTGAGTAGACTTGTTCACCATTCTCTTATCTCAAAATTTTCCATTTAGGTTTGCTGATTAGAGAAAAGAGAAGAACAATTCCAAAGAGTGAAATGGTTCAAAGATCTAAACGGTAAGGTTAAGAAAAGTTTGTTTCAGGTAGATAGTGACCTGAGTAGGAAAGATGGGTGAATTGCATCTGCTGTCAAAGAAGTGGGTGTTGGGGATAACTCAGCTTTTTCAGTGCGAGATGTAGGCACCTTATCAGAGGGAGAAAACACCTATTTAGAAAATCCGAGAAACAAAATCATTTTGGAAAAATGATTTCTGTAACTAAACCTGAGTATTCTGCTGCAGTATCTGCCATCCAAGCACTACAGCAAACTGTGCAAGTACTGAATCCCAAAAGGAGAGGAAATGTAGGGTGAGGGCCACTAGAGCACCTGTATAGTTTTAAACATTAACGAACTAGGTAATTGGTACAGGAAGTGAGGCATCGTTTCACTGAATGAAAATAGTAGCTTTATGTAAGAAATAAAAACAAAGGAATACAGAGGCTTTTAGCCTTGAAGAAAGCCACCTTATGGTAGATTTTGCCTTATTTTTGACTCAAGTAATTCATACATAAAATGCACAGCACACTAACAATGTATTAAACATTTGGAATACCTATCCTACAGAGAAAGCATGTCAAGGTATAATAAAAAATGGAGTTTATTGCAGCTAGATTCTGAAATGGTAGTGGGGTCAAGAGGAGGTGGTTTGGAAGAGTACCAGTTGAGAAACAGCATAAATACCTAAAAGTAAATTAGGGATTCATGAAGTCATCTCTGATAACTTGTAAAGTTACATAAAAACACAATGATACTGTAAGTTATTTAGAATCAAAACAAAACAAAGGTCAAGAGTGTACCTTGAGGCAAGGGATATTTTTAGTTGGGATTTCAGCATATATGCAAGTGCTTCGTTGCATTGAAGTCTTGGAATGTACGTGCCACATGAAGGGAAGGGTTTGTGCTATGTGAAAGGAGCAGTGCTGTGGGCCAGGACTGTTGCACAGCATCTTCGTCGGTAGTAGCAGTGGGATGGAGCGTACCTCAACAGGTTTGCAGGTGACACTGAACTGGGAGGACCAGTCAGCATGCTGGAGAGTAGGTCTGCAGTCTCTAGAGATCTCTGCAGGCTGGAGGAAAGCGCCAAGAGGAATCTCATGAAGTTCAACAATGACAAATACCAAGTCTCTCCTTGGGACAGAAACCCCTCCCAGGGACACCCCCCTTGGCAGTGTCCGAGGACAGACTACCTGTGGAGCAGCCCTTCTGAAAAGGGCCTTGGGGGCCTGGCAGCTGGTGAACAGCAGATGGAACATGAGTCGGCAGTGTGCTCTTGCAGTGATGAAGGCCAGCTACACACTGCATTGCATGCAGGTGGAGGGAAGTGGATATTCCCTCTGCTTGGCACTCATGGGTCCACAGCTGGATCCTGTCCCCTGTTCTGG